CACGATCGGAGAGGACCTCGTGGTGTGTCAGATCGGCATGCCCGCATACGAATTTCCCCCGGCTCTGAAGCCGCCGGAAGAGCTGGTGGTGCTGGCTAAAGATGCTTCCGGGCAGCCGATTTTTAATGCTTCCGCCAAACACTGGACCAATTTTGTCCTTACAGAAAATGCAAACGATGCGATTGGCATCCTCAACAATTCTGCCTCATACAACAAAATGTCAGTTGAATACAAATACGAGATGATGCCGAATCGCACGTGGCGTTGCCGCGTGTTTCTGCAAGATCACTGCTTAGCTGAAGGTTATGGGACCAAAAAAACAAGCAAACACGCAGCTGCCGATGAGGCTTTGAAAATCCTTCAAAAAACACAGCCCACTTACCCCTCGGTCAAAAGTTCACAGTGCCAGACAGGCTCTTCCCCCAGGGGATCTGGAAAGAAGAAAGATATAAAGGATCTCGTAGTTTATGAGAATTCTTCAAATCCGGTGTGCACCCTGAACGACACAGCTCAGTTCAACCGCATGACAGTCGAGTACGTCTACGAAAGAATGACGGGCCTCCGATGGAAATGCAAGGTGATCCTAGAGAGTGAAGTGATCGCAGAAGCAGTTGGGGTGAAGAAAACGGTCAAATACGAAGCTGCTGGGGAAGCTGTGAAAACCCTCAAAAAGACCCAGCCGACCGTCATTAACAATTTGAAGAAAGGAGCTATCGAAGATGTGATTTCCAGAAATGAAATTCAGGGCCGCTCAGCAGAGGAGGCTTACAAACAACAAATCAAAGAAGATAACATAGGAAACCAGCTGCTGAGAAAGATGGGCTGGACGGGTGGTGGCTTAGGTAAATCTGGCGAGGGCATTCGGGAGCCAATCTCCGTCAAAGAGCAGCATAAGCGAGAAGGGCTCGGTCTTGATGTAGAGAGGGTGAACAAAATCGCCAAGAGAGATATTGAACAGATCATCAGAAACTACGCCCGCTCGGAGAGCCACACGGATTTGACTTTCTCCACAGAGCTGACTAACGACGAGCGGAAGCAAATCCACCAGATTGCCCAGAAGTACGGTCTTAAGAGTAAGTCGCATGGGGTAGGCCACGATAGGTACCTGGTGGTAGGTAGAAAACGACGGAAGGAAGACCTACTAGATCAGCTCAAACAGGAAGGCCAAGTGGGGCATTACGAGCTTGTGATGCCTCAAGCAAATTGAGCTCTTAACTAATTTATTTTGTAAATGCCCAGTGAGGCAGATTTATGAATTAAAGAAATGCCACATGTCCTGGTTGCAGAGTATATCCATTCTCAAGATGTTTCACCTTGTTCATTTCATATAGTGCTTTATTAGCTATTGGAACCCGAAGAATTCTGTCCACTTGTATTAGCCTAAATCCAGCAGATGATATTGTGCAGTTACTGTTTGTGTCTCTGATATTGCAGTGTCCCTCCGATTTTAGTAGTTTGTACAAAGCAAGAACACATATCCAAATGGAATTTCACCCCGAGAAAGAAATTCCCATTTTAAAGGGCATAGCACAGCAATCTGCAACAATATGTCAAGTTGATACTGATTACGATAAAACCACAGTCTTAATTTCAGACTTCCTGAAAATGTCAGATCATTTTGTATTACTATTTTCATCTTTGTGTGAAGCCAGTTAAAGAATGTTTAACAGTAAATTGTGCTGTACGTGTAAATGTCCCTGCCGACTAAATGATGTAAAACTTTCTTAAAGTAATTTTAGTGTTCATTTATTTATAACTTCTACCATGTGGTTTCCAGAATATTGGAAGTGATTTACTGTTATCTTGTGATATATGAATTTTAATAAATTCTAGTCTTCATGCTGAGAGAGCACTACTTGAGAGAGCAGTTGAAAAGTTTCAAAAACTTTGATTCAATCTGAAGAAGGGAAGCTGGAGCTGTTTGTTCTTGGTGCCTTGCAGAGAGCCTCACGGCAACTCTCCATTACAGCTTCTCCCGCGGGTCGGGTGCACAGCACATCCAAGGTGACCACAGCGGGGGCAGAGCTTGGTAAGAGACCGAAGACACCTTGGTGCTTTGATGAAAAGGTCAGTTGGCTGGTCCCTCTCTCAAAAAGCTTATTAAGCCCCCAAAGCCAACTTTGTAACATATTTAAAACTGCTATTTTCGCTTATTTCTGGAATGTAAAAAAAAACAAAAATGTATAAAAAAGAATTAGTGTATGCTTCCTGAATAAAAAGGAGCGGACGTTGATCAGAATGGGCAGTGTGCTTATTTCTGGGCAGCAGACCCTCTGGTCTTTGGAGAGGGGAAGTGGTGTTTGCACAAAATATTTCAACACCAGAGCACATGTGGATGAACGTGATGACAGCAGATGCGAACAGCTGATCGGTCACCCATCACGTTTTTGCTGTGGGCCAACACGCTGGCTGCGACCCAATCTCCGGCTGTGTACTTCTCCGTGATTTGGGTTTTGTACCTCCGATAAATCAAGGATCGATATTTAGAGACGAATGTTAATCTCAAGAGTTAAACACACCAATGAAATGATAGAACAGTTAGGGTGTTTACAGTGTCTGAAGACATTTAGCCCCACACTTGACGTGTAATTGGCCCACTATAAACAGCAATTGCCTTTCCCCTCTCTTTTATATTTTCCATCAAGAAGCTGCCCGTTGTAGTTCAATCAGTAGTTTAAAAATACAAAGGGATTGGCTTTTGTACCTGGATCTCTAAGTGTTAGGCACCCACAGTGATTAACTGCATGATGTTTGCTTTTCACTAACTCTCTTTCTTAACAGTGCGTGGCCTTTCCTAATGTTGGTAGGAAGAGAAATGAGGGGTGCATTTTATTTTGGCACTTAATGTTTTAACAGCGGCAAAGGGAACATAAGCTAGGCTGTTTATAGATTTTATAGGATTTTTTTTTTTTTTAAACCTACAGGGTTCATGCCAACCTTGAGAAGCTGTGGTTCAATTAGCAAGAGTGGCTTTGCGGCTCAAGGGCAGGGGGTGAAAACTCATTTCTCTCTTCACATTTCTTTTCCCAAAACGATTGGGCAGGGGGAGGGAGGTGGGGAGTAGGGACATGTTACACATAAATCTGGGTTTCTTAGATAAGTTTAACAGAGTATTAACGTAGTCACAGTTAAGGCTCCCAAGTAATTGGGCCAGCTATATATTTGGTTCTGGATTTGAGGGTCCAGATTTCCTAACTTCTTGGATCGACTTTGGTATTGATGTGGAATTAGGGCGAAGTCACTTGACTCTGCTTGACAATAAAATGTTGAGAATGAGCTGCTGACAACCTTGCTGTTCTGTTTTGTCCCCATTCTGTTGGCTCCTGTGTTTTCCTTTTCTTCTAAAGAGCAGTCATTTGTAGCTCAGTAACTTTGCTATAAAACCTGCACAGATAAATGAGCTGCCTCAAGTTTTATTTGAATTACTTAAGTAAGTTAGATACTAAGTAACCTTCAGGTACATAGATAGCCTCAAGTCTCACAGATCTACTTTTTAGATTTTTTTTTCCCTCTCCTTTGATTGCAAAATGAATGGGAATTTCCTGCATTCTGCTGGGACACTTTTTTTTTAGTAGGATGCAGTGCATTCCCTTCACTGTGAGTAACCCCTGAAGCTGGAGATGGGTCCTATATAAAGGACTCTTTGATTATAACTTGGTTATAATCCTCATGGTTCCCTCATGCCCCTTTCCCCGTATCAGCAGGTGTAGAATTGAAGACTCAAGTTCAAATCAGACTGCCATTTGTAAGGGGACCTCACAAATCTGTTTTAACCTTATTCTATTTACATGCAGGCAGCCTGTGGCATTTGTAAAAAAAACATTGTAAAGAGAAAAAGGCAAATTAGCATTAAATGTTTGAATGAATGGTTTTTGTAGTGCCTTTGACCTTGGATATGATGCTTTTAGAGATCAGCTTGTTGACTGTTGTAACGTTTTAAAAGGATTATCCCATGAAAAAGATGGAATGGTGTTTCTCAGGAGGTGTATAAAAAGAAAAAAAATCTGCACATTACCGATCTCACCTTTTAAAGTGTGACTAAGAGTGTCACTATTTAAGGTCCCCAGCCACAGTAGGAGGAAAAAGTTAATGTAAAACGCATCTACCAAATAAAGACCAATTTCATGTGGTTCTACTTTGAAGCAGAAATGGACTTGAGGGAAAATATTGAGCACATTGAAGGATGATGCTCCTAGGTGGAACCAACCAACGTATGCACTGAAGGAACTCTGCCACACTGACGTTCCTTTAAGTGCCATGTCTTAAAGATGAGCGTAGCCCATACACCATGAAGACTTACTTTTAAAGATTTATACGAGAGAGCGCGCGCAGAGGGAGAGGGAGACGCAGGCTTCCCGCTGAGCAGAGAGCCCCATGTGGGACTCGATGCCAGGACCCCGAGATCATGACCTGAGCTCCCCCAGGCACCCCATATAAAGACTTAGCTTCATTTCATTTAGCCCCTACCCCAGACGAGAGGCGAGCGTTTCTACAAAGTCACTGTTCTGGGCTCTTTAAAATGAGACCGGTTGCTCCCCAGAAGAAAGCAGTTTTGTTTAGATAAGATCGAGGCTACCTGGACTCCCACCAAACTTCACTCGGGAGTTAAAATACCACTTAATAATGGTTTGATACTATTCGTTTTGAAGCTAGGGCTTCTTGGTTTCTGGAGGCACTGGTAAATACCCAGCTTTGTCTATCACCCCCTCCCCAACACAACTTCATTTGCTTGATTGACCATACTCTGTGCTGAAGGAACTTTGTTTTATTTAACAGTTTTACATTCTTGTTAAAACGTTAAAAAAAGAACAAAGCATTAACACTTATGACAAGAAAGAAGGTCCTCTCCAACAGTGTCTACTCCTCTTTTTCCTCTCCCAGCGTGTGTATTTTTCTTTTACCATGTTTATTTCAAGGGGGAAAGTGAGTAGGTATGGGATTCCAATAAGTTAATACTAAAAGTTCATAGTGAGCTAAAATATAATTATACCTTGACTACAAAGTTTTAAGGTTATTTTTATTTACAAGTTTTGAAAAATGTACATTTTTTACATGGGTTACTTGTGCAAAGTTAGATTTAGAAGAGTGACAAATACACCAAAGGTGACGATGGAACATTAGACAAAACATGTACAAGCCTTGTCCCACGCTGCTACTTAAAGGTACTGTCCTATCTAAAGTATAAATAGCCAACGAAAGATCACAAGCGGGACTTCGAGGTTCTTACAATACTGAAAGGGAAGACGAAACTAAAGCATATGCAGCATTAACTCAGGATTTGAGTGGAAAATAGTTTGCCACAGATACGCTCCCTTCCTTGGGTTAACTAAAACTCTAAAAAAAGGATGGGGGATTATAAATTTATCTAGGGTGGCACTGCTCCCTTAAAAAGATTAAAGGATCTCCCACCTTCCCTAGCTTAAAAACGAATGATGGTTTCCATTCCTCTGCTCCCACACCTCTTTAAACAGCAAAAACCCAGAAGACTTCAGTATTCTGAAACTTAGCATGGGTGAGCCCAGTGAGTATCTTGCAAGGAGAGGATGTGTCAGTTGCAATTATCGCTGCGTTCCTTTGGCCGAGTCCTTTAACTTTTTCCCTCGTACCAGTAAAAACCGTCTTGTAATTCATTTTGGTTGGATGTTAGTATGATAGCATTTCTAGCCTCCACTGCTCTTTCAGAATGGATGCTTATATGGATTTGTTCCCCTGTTTCCCATAGGCCTATTCCAAACATCCACTTCTAAATCCAACACAAGTGAAGGACCAGCCAGGATGAAACACTGTAGCAATCCTTTTGTTAAAAATAACATCCTGGTCATGAAGCTCTGCATAAGCACCACTTGTATAACGATTCACTTTAAAAGCTTAGTGTAAAGTACGGTAACACAATCCTGCCCTAAAACTGGAGCTGAGACACAACAGAAAAGGGATGAAGCATTAGTAATGTTCGCACGTAACCCAGGTACAGTACATTTGATCTTGTAGAGGGTGTTTGCTGAGGTTCGAGGAGAGGGTACAAGGGGTAGGAAAAGCTCGGCAAGGGAAGATGGAAACAGCACGACAGCTATTTTGCTTTTAATAAAGTAATGTAATGACATTGAGGAACAGGAAGGTGACACACACATCAATATATATTTTCCTTATGACCAGCCTCTTCTTTTGCTGCACCCGGGTCAACAGTCACGCCAGCTCTGTTCTACTATCGCAGAAACACGTTTTTCATATTCCCGCTTGTTCTCCTGGTACAGCTGAGCAGCCTGGCTGTTTGCTGGACTATTGGGATTGGGTTCATCCAATAGGGACTACAGAGACAATTTGTAAAAGGTCAGTTCCTCAATGCAAAAAAAAATATCTATATCTATATCTATATATTCAAAACACTCAGCTGAGTTGCCCTCAGTAACAGCTACAGTGGATCTCTTAGCATACTAACCTAGAGTAATATTAATCTGCTAGTAGCTAGGCAAATACGTTTTCTGGGGGCTTGGGTCTTAATGACCTGCCCTTTACCTTAAGTTAGGACTTCCAGAAACAATCCAAGTGCTAACAGAAACATATCAAAGGCCACAGTTGGTCACATTAAGGAAAATTCACCTGTATGGATGTTAAAATGGAAGACACATCATAGGTTGGACTCCAGCGGTTCTGAAGTATGTCCAGACATATACTACCATCTGCATAGACTAAGAGAGAAGTAGGTATGTTAAACGTAATAAAACCATTAAGATTTTTAACATCACAGTCAAGACAAACATAGTCAAGAATACTTTGCCTGTGAGGTTTAAAAAGATTCCTAAACTGCTTCTCAGTTACCTTCCTAAGAAGAAGAGTTCTAATCATTGCTAGTGAAATAGTCAAAGAATGTCAAATATAATTGGTATAAAACTAGAAGATACTTAGTGCACTTTCTTCTGAAAAGACTGCCCTATTAACCAGGAAATCATACGCGTTTTCCAATGGGGTCCCTAGTCATCCAGACACGTGGGAAGTTTATTCCACTAAATTTGCAAACTCTGTCTCCTATCCGAAATAACAAAAGACAGCTCGGAGTTCACAAGGTCTCATTTCAGCATGAAGATCAAACTATCTGATATCCCGGAAAATACTTTATTAACCTAAATAAAAAAGCAAGCTGTTCTAGGCTTACTACTAGCCAAGAAAAGCAGAATGTAAGTTAGAATCACTGGGCTGCTTTTCCAATACACCGTAGCCCTCAGCCACAGAATCTCAGATTCAGCAGGTCTGGAGTGGTGCCAAGGCATCTCTATTTGTAAAGTGTTCCACGGTAATTTTCTTCTGCATCTAAAGTTGAAAACTGTTGTTCTAAATAAACAGTTCTAAATGTGGTGAAAATAGTCACAACCCAAGACCACCCCAATCCGACATTAACAGGAAACGTCAAGAGCGTCCTTATTTTTGTATAATAAGTAAATGATAAAGATCATCAAAACCAGGAGGCTTGCAGACTCCAAGCCAAAGCAGAGTACCTTCACTGCTTCAGTTCTAGGGCTAGAGATCAAGATAGCAACAGACCATCATGAACAAGTTGTTTTCGGGAAACGGCAAGATGCCTAAACAAATACTCAGGTACTACGGACAAATACACAGGAAACGCGGAACACCTCCCATAATTAACAGTGTAGTTTAAAATATTGCATTAAAAGTGATACTTGCCATTTGGATGAAACATCTTAGAGACAAATCTAACCGTAGGTGGTTTATTTGGATATTCTTCAGTGAATTCTATTGTAAGCTTAAATGTTCCTGTAGTTAGAAAAGAAAGGTTTAAGAAACAGAGTTATCACTTTGTTCAGTAGTACTTTCTTTTTAATGCTACATGACACTTTTTCCCGTACTAGATGAAATAATGCAAAGATAGAGGGTAGAGAGGAAAGAAAGGCCAGGTGAGAGACAAGGTAAGTCATGATCTCTAGGAACTGCTCTAAAAACAGATATTGTAAGAACCACCACGCAACGGGGATTTTTTTGTTTTGCCATCATTCTCCCCCAAACTTAAATACAGTCATCTTAAGCTCAAAAGTACTGCCTGCAGGAGAACTTTAGCCACTCTCCATTTTGAAGATATCCTTAAAATGACAAGAAACTAGAGCCAAAGTTTGGTGCTCTTGCCTCAGAAGACTGAGAGACCTCAAAGGCCTATTTTAACCAGCCGCCATCTTAAACTCTCCAGTGGTTTTGACACGGGCTAAAGAGAACGAGAGTACAAAGCCTCCAAAGTCAGTGCTAGAAATACAAATCTATAACCCAATTGTCTTTAAAAACGGAAGGGAATAAGTATAAAAGTGTTCACCAGCCCCTTTTCATACAATAGCGACTCTATAATGAAAACACAATTGAATGTAAGCCAGAAAAAACTTTATAGTCTCTCTCAAAAATCCTTAAGTATGACTCACAAGATACTACACTATAAAATCAACTCCATTATTCACACTAATGGAGGGAATTAATGGCAGAAATAATTAAAAAATCACATTAGATTGCATTCATGTCTCCAGCAAATTTATCTTTCTAATGATGTTTGTTTCATTCAATTCTAATGAAATGAATTTATTTTCCTTGAATATGTGTCAACCCAGGTAGCAGGAGGCCCTGACATATACTAGGTTATAGACTTATTTATAAGGAATGAACAAACTGGATCTCATTCAAGAATTGTAGGATGTTCTGCTTTGGGGAGATTGTTTCCTTCAAAATATTTTTAAAATTGGGTTTAATAAATCCAAGAAAACAATTGGGCAACTGTTTATTCCTGACTGAAATCTCTTCAAGTAAACTTAAGCAATCACTGTCTGGCATAAGGGGGTGGATGTTCCACTATTACTCTGGTCCTTTTAAAAAATTTATTCTAATACTATAGACCACACTTCAGGTCGAGTACAACTTGATTCTGGTTTCTTCAGAGTTGGCAATTTCCTCCATCAATAGGTTTATCACCACTTAAGAAAAAAAAGACTACATTCTATTGCTAGATCCATTACATAACAATACCAAAGTTTGTTTCCTACCAGCGAACTCACAGGAAACAATTTGCTAACAGAGTTGCCCTTAGTATGATGAACGTATGTTCCAAAGTTTCAGAATACTTTAAAGTGCAACATATACAGACATATTCCCCAAACAATTGCTACAGATTTGAAGATACTGTATATTATAACTAAGGGCAAAAAGTGAAATATTTTGGAATGGACAAACACGCTACAGTCTGTCAGAACCTACTTCACCTTATTACCACCTGGTCATGAATCTTCCTATTTGTGAGGAAGAAATATTGGTTCTTCCTTTTCAGTGCCATTGATATTATAATACACAGGAAAAAGTGGGAATGAGTGTTAGAGAGTTCAAAACTTTGAGCTTCCTTATGCATCTCAAGTATAAACACATTTGGCTCAATGTTGAAATCTGATTAAATTAGAGGTAAGAGATTTATCATCACGGAATTGCTCTAAAAGTGGGCGGATTTAACAGCACACAGGTACTAGGGCCCAGGTACTTTAAATTAAGACCATCATTAAATATGATATCCAAAAGTGGTAAAGGAACACATAAGACAGGCGTTAAGTGGAAACAGTAGAGCATAGTGGGGAAGAGCACAGCCTTGCAGTCAGACCTGGGCTCAGTTCCTTGCTTTGCTACTTACTAGGAGCCACTCGACTTGACTAAACCTCAAGTTCCTCATCTGTAAAATGGGGTTAGTAATAGTACCCACCACATTACATTGTTGTGAGGTTTAAATGAGGGAAATGTGCACAGTGACACAAAGTAAGTGCTCCATAAATATGGTAGCTATAATAATTCTAAAGTTGCACACTCCTAGACCCAGCTGAAGGAGGCAAAACCCAAATATCCCAACTTGACTATCAGTAAGAAATACACAATTAATGAATTTAAATATTAAATACTACTTTCTTTCTGACCTACACCAAACGCTCACAGCTGAATTCAAGTTGAGTATGGAGGTTGGTGGCTCTCGAAACCCTTGACTTGAACTTTCTGCCTAACACTTGCCCAGAAGTTCAACACTAGATACCAAGTAAGTTAATCAAGTCTTTTCAAACAGCTCATTTACTATCTTGGGAAGTGAAACAACCTGCTTATGTCTACTTGACTATAAATTAGGACTTACCCCAAATCGTATTTCAAATACGTATTTAAAAGGGGATAGTTCATACTTTCAGCCACATTATACTACTGGAACCTTTTTAATACAACCCTCAATGCAATTTCTGAGATCCAAAACAAACGTTAAGGAAATTTAAAATCCTAGAATATGATGCAATTGAGACCAGAGCTTATCCTCTGGATATTCAGAAGGTTAGGCTTTAAAATAATGGAAGACGTAAGCCTCACTATTGTACACAATCTGTACTGCTTTTGCTCATCTTCCTGAGGAGGCCAAAACATTGTAAGGAAAGTATCAATCCATCTATACAGGGGACTAGGCAAACTTTGTGTTCAATGGCAGAGGCGTGGCAATAAGGAGTGATATGGTTAGACTAGAGAGTGTATGTTCGCTGAAGACATTCACAAAAAAACACCTGCGTGTTTTCTGCCATTTGGCCACCAGCTTGTGACCCCGGAGGAGAAAACAAAGTACATGCACCTAAAAAAAATTTTTTTGATGACCAGAGATTCTGATTTTTAAGATAATACCCAAATACTCCTCATCATAGGATGTGTTTACCTTAAGTACACCCTCAGTGGACTTTGAGTGAATAATTTTTAAAGGACTTACAACCAAATTCTTACAAGAAGCAAATACTAGTATCTCACTGTGTGTATTAACAATTTTTAGGTGATGTGATGGAGACTACTTTATTCCAAAGTCTTTGTATTCAGCATCCATGCCAAGATATTTTGATGAGGAAGCATTGCCCCCCGGTGTTTTGTCTGGTAGTGTAAGTTCTTGAGAACATTTTCCTCTTACTTTAAGTGTGTGAAGTTAAGTCAAAATACCTTCAAGAGTTCCTTTTCTTAAGTCTTCATCTCTTTAACTGGGGTCTGGCTGTTCCAGAAATGTCCACCACAAATGATTTACAAGGAAACAGCAAAAGTAGTTTTGGGGTTGTTGATTTATATAATACATTGGAAACAGCAAAATCAATTGTGCCACTTGTCCCTAATGAGGCTTTCCTAGTAAATTCCCTAATTGAAAATAAAGGGTATTAAAAAATGGTCAAAATATTTTTTTTGTAGCCACAGCCCCAGTTCTAGACACCTGAGGAAGCATCCATGGATAGCAGACTGCTCAAGAGAATGAATCAGAAAAGGGTATTGTTATTTAGCTGGAGTAGTTCCTTTCAGTAATGCCAGTATGGAGATACACATCATCAAAAACAGAACCGGTGATGTCAACGGGGAAGATCCAGGTAGATAATGGATTCCTTAAGCACCTTCTCAATGCATACCACTTAAAACGAGTGAAGCACCCTTGAAATATTTAAGTAGCCAATCCTCCAGCAAAGTGATGTACTATTAATAAAGCTGTGCCCAGCATAAAGCCGTCTGAGTAAAGTCAGGAGGAAGAAAAGAAGCCAATGAAAATAAAGCCTGCCAGGGCTAAAGCAAACACAGTTAATCTGCACACAATGCTTAGGTAGAAAGAACGAGCACCAATCTAGCAGAGGAAAATTAAGTCGAGCTAGCTCTTGCTATGGATCAGTTCAAATGATTTACTGCACCAAAGCAGTATGCCTTTAGAATCACTCTCTTGCTGTCACTTCTTTTTATTGCAGCACTGAAGAGCAGTGACATTTACCCAGGGGGTGGAGGCAGGGAGGAAGCTAAAAGTATTCAGGTGACCGTCCACAGTCTCCTAGGGAAATCTGAGCATTTGAGACAAATCCGAGAGTTGGCTGATACTGCCCTTCCTCACCACATCTTGCAGACTGGGAGAATCAGAGAGCAATCGGACTCGGCAATATAAGTATATACTTAGTAGTTTGCAGAAATGTTTTTGTTCCCACCTTCAAACTGAGCTCTGCGTATGAGTGTGTGCGTGTGTGTGTATCACACGCTAAATGAGTAAAGGAAGATGGTCGTTGAAAAAAGTAACAAAGCTCCTTTGCTTTTTTAAATACCTCAAATATTAAAGATGTCGATCAGTAGTTCAAATACTTTTAATTGTGTCTTAAATGTATTAAGCTTTCCAAGAACGACTACACACGCATGCACACAACTGAATGTACATAAAACTGCATCGATGTCAAGTTCCTGGTCATGAGACTCTAGTACAGTCATTCAAGATGTTACCAAAGGGGTGGGGGAATGCGTGAAAGGTATACAAGGTCTCTCTGTATTAGCGGTATTAATTACAACCGCACATGACTCTGTAATTATCTCAAAATAGAAAGTTTAAAGAAAAACTTAAAAAGCAAGTAACGTGTTTTTAAAAGTCAAGCCTAAATCCATTAAAAATCCTGTACCTATAGGTACACAGAGTACCTTCAAGTAGGCTGGACACTTCTCAAGAGGGTACATGAAGGCTCCCCTCAATTCTGAGGCTGCTTTGAGAATACGGACCATCAAGTCTCGATAAAAGCCCACTGAAAACTCATTTAAAAATAAGAAACAATGTTATATTCAAACTGGCCATTAAAGGTGCCATTAAAGACCATCTTGGAGCCGAGAGGCTGACAGGTATTCAACGCCAGATTGTAGAAACCAGATAGTTCTGTGCAAGGAACTCTCACACCCATCCAACACCCAACAAACACATATTAAGCACCCGCTGAACACAGTTCCTGCCCTTGTGGTAGAATTCCCAACTAGGTGGTTTCTGGGGTCTCTGAGTCTATCAGCAAGTGGTTGGGTTGATACTAAGTCAGTATCTAGACAGGGTGCTGAACTGAGCTGGATCACAGCCCAGACCTCAAAAATCCTTAACATCAGTGCTATGGGGCTCCTTCTAAAAAGTGACTGCCTTACCCAGATTTTTTTTTTTCTTAAAGGAGCAAGCAAGAAAAAAGGTGCAGTCCTAGTCCAGCGGACAAGGGCCAGAACAACCTGCCACGTATGGGAGTTCACTCAAGCCTTTAGCAGGCAGAGGCTAGGGAGAAGCGGGTTCTTAAGTAGGAGGCACTCCCAGGACGACTGGGAACCCTTTCCCCCAGATGATCAGGCCCCTGAAAGGTGGGTAAAGAAACTCTCTTACCGTCCTCAAACGGGGTCCCTTCAGGCCTGCAACACAGAGAAAACACAGTCAGTTCCCGCTTCAGGGGCTCCCTTCCCCCTTAAGACACTGCGATTCCCAGCTCTGGCAACTCTCCCGCTGGGAAGCCACCGCTTCCTGGGTCAGAAAGCCACTACAAATGGATGTTTGGGGCTCGGAAACCGGCGCAGGCCGCCGCGCCTAACCGCCACCGCTCCCCGCTCCGCCCCCCTCAGAACCCCAAACGGTTCCCCGGGCAGCGGGAACTGAGCTAATCGAGGCACAGGCTCCGGGGAGGCGCCTAGGCCCAGCCGGACCCAAACATTCCCCCTCTCCCTCTCCGTCCTCGCCGGGGGCCGGTCCCCGACGGCAGGCTGGGCCGGCCCGAGTCCCCCACCTCTCGCCACCTCCCGGAACGCAGACTCACCCGAAAATGACCGCGTTCCAAACCATTATGTTGTTCTCGGACGGAGCCCCGCTGACTCCAGCCGGAGGATCCTCCTGCAACCTTCAGGGAAACAGACAGGGGCTCCGCGATCCGGCACTCGCGTCCGCTCCGGGCCCCCCCCCCGCCCCCGGCCCGCCTCGGGACCCGCCCTGTGCCCCGCCTGGCAGCGCCCCCGGCCTCGGCGGTCCTCCGTCGCCTTACCTCTTGAAGTCCCTCATGAGGCGCCGCCGAGCCGGGGTGGACATATCTCTAGCGGGGTCAGGGGTGGGGCATACACCGAGGTCTCGGGTCCCGGCGGGGGCTGAGGAGGCCGAGGAGGCTGAAGGAGCCGAAGCGGCCGCCGAGGAAGCGCCCAGAGGAACGGCACTGCCCCTCCGAAGTCGAGGGTCGGTCTGGCGCCGGCTAAGCACCACCCCGGAGTAGACGGGGGCTGAACCAACCTGGAAGGAGAGGGGGGGTGGAACGCCGAATGCCGAACGCCGGACAGGCCGTACCAAGACCGGGCGGGGGGGGCGGCCGGGAAAGTTGCTTAGGTCATTAAACCCCAGCGGGAGGCGGGGAGCGCCGGGCCGGTGCGGGAGTGAGAGGCACGCCGCCGGCCGAGCGGAAGCCTGTAATTCACTAGGAATTCGTGGCGGAATGGGGTCCGTCTCCACCTGCCCAGGCTCGGACGGACCCTGGGAAGCTTTTTTCTGTTTTTTCTTTCCTTTTTTTTTTTTTTTTTTGAGATCAGATCACTTACGGCAGTGCGCACTCTGGCTGGGGGCGGGAGGGGGAGAGAAGAAGATGGAAGTCCCTAAGTAGAAGGGAGGAGACAGTGGGTGGAGGCAAATCTGGTTCTCGGAAAGCGGGAACTCCAGGGACCCGGGAGGCTGGGGAGGAGGGTGTGTGACTGGTTCAAATCACTGAAAATCAAAAGAATAAATCGGCTTCGGCTATGACAGGGAGCTGTGGGTCCCTCGTCTATGAGATGAACGTGCGGGACTCCGGTCCCAATGTTTAGGCCAATGATCACCCCCAAGCAGGATAAAATGGTGGTGTGTGTCCTGGGGGAGGGAATGAGAGCTTAAGGCAAGCACAATGAGGTTGTAGCTCTGGGCACTCACAATTTGGCTCTGGAACCACATTTCCCCTTGGCAGTTCAACAAGCCAAGCGGCTACTATGTATTCGGAAGAGTCCAAGGTGTGAGAATATCCGACTGCGGAGAATTGCAAGGGCAGAGAGTCTGAAGTAAAAGTAACGGTAAGACGCACGTGAAAAAGCTGCAGGTTGCAGAGAAGAGTCACAGTTACTATGTGGACCTGCAAAAGCAATAACAGTTTTAAAGAATAATTTGTAAAGGTCAACCTCAAATAACTTAGAAGGTAGGCAAAACACTCATTTTAAGGATTTTTGAAAATATGAGAAAGGTAAGTTTGGGTTAAGTCATGGAGAGTTTTGAACGTCAAGCTAATGGATTCCTTGGAAGGTGGCTGTGCATAATTAGAGTCGGGCTGGTCAGAGATGTGGGTCCCGGGAGAGCAGCTAGGAGACGCTTGAAGTAGTCTAGGTGAGAAATACTGAACCGGGCAGTGACAACAAAAACGGAGGGGATGGGATGAATGGAGAGGACTCAGCAACAGATTGAACTTGGAGGCAAGAGAGAGGAAGGAGTCAACAACGGCTGGAGTTCTAAGCCCCAAGATACCTGGGGCTTTGAAGGTGCCACAGACAGAACTGGGGAACAGAGTGGGAAGGGGGGCAGTTTGGGGACTTACTGAGTGCAATGACTTACTGAGTGCATGGGACTGGTGAGAAATCCGAGCAGAGATGTCCGTAAGATATCAGATGTGCAGAAATTTGTTTCTAAGGTGGGAGGTGGGAGACACTTGACGATGGTCGTGATTCTAGCTGCTGTTTAAACACAGGTACTTTCGTGGGAAAGGATTTATATCTCCCATTGACACCAAGATATCAGGAGCTAAGGCAAGTCTCCCTAATAGCATCTCACTGTGACTGTGGTGGGCAGGGGGTACAAAAATAAGTTGAAAAATGTCCTTTTCCTCTCATCTAGTAACTGGCAGTCTACTAATACACATGTAAGTTACAAAAGCAAGTGCATTTGTTTTCAATTGCTACTTAACAAATCACCACAAGCTGTTGGTCAAGTTCAATGCCTTGCAGTTGTAAGGACTGAGGCCCCCATTTGCTCACTGGCTGCCAGCCAGGGGCCATTCGCAGCTCTTAGAGGTCACCCACATTCCTTGCCACGTGGCCTGCTCCATTTTCAAGCCAGCACCTGAGAACTTCTCTCCCATGAAATCCCCCTCACACTTGGAATCTTTCTTCAGGAAGAGCCCAGTTCACTTTAAGGGCTTATCTAATTAGGTCAGGCCCATCCTGGGTTACCCCCCACCCCCAATATCATCTGATCTGGGACCTTAATCACATCTGCAAAATTCCCTCACAGCAGAACCTAGATTAACGTTCGAGTAACTGGGAGAAGGTGTGTGTACGTCCACGGCCAGGGATCTTTGAACTCTGCCTGCCAGAGCAGCCTCAAGAAACATAGCAGAAGCGTGCGAATCTACAAATGCGGAGGGACCGCGCAGCGGGGGAAACCCTCAGTCTGGTGGGGGTTAGAGCGAGCTTCCTGGAATGGGTCTGTTTCAGTTTTGTTTCAACAGAAGTGACAGCAGGGAGAGACTTCCCCGGGAGAGAAGTCAAGCAGTTTCTATGAGCGCAACAGCATGAAGGAACACGTGGAGCTCAAGAAGGTTCTGGGGATACTGGACAGACTAGCGGGGCTAATGGGGGATGATGAGACCCCTGCTTGGAAAAGTGAGGGGGACAGAAGTTGGTTAGATGCCCTCAAACACAAGGATGGGGGCTTTAGGCTTGACAGGGGGCTTTTAGAGGTTTTCCAGGTCTGTTTTGCAGAGGTGCTGAGAAGCTGCCTATACCGTACTGGAGAGCAGGGAAGGGGCTGGGAGGGGAGGCTCCTGCTGCTGGATAGAAATGTCTGAAACTCACTGAAGGTCAGAGATGTAGCTGGGTTTGTTGTGGGCTTGTTTATTTTCTGAAATTCCTTTGCCCTAGCTCATGAGTAGCTCTCTGTCTAATCAAGAAACCTCGGGGACACGAACCACAGCAGTTTGGGAAGCCCCGTGGCACCAGGGGATGGGGAGGGCAGGCCCTGACAGCACGGTGGAATCCCACTGCAGAAATACTGTGCCCCCACATTCCTCACCAGAAACAGCGTTGTCATAACAAGCAGCAACACGGAAGATCGTTCTCTAGCACAGATGATTATCGGGCTAGAACATGCTAACCATAGCCTACTTGGCCAAGCATTCCTTCCATCCCCTTTTCACCTTGACATCTTTTTTTTTTTTAAGATTTTATTTATTTATTTATTTGACAGAGAGAGCACAAGTAGGCAGAGCAGGCAGGCAGAGGGAGAGGGAGAAGCAGACTTCCCACTGAGCAGAGAGCCTGATGCGGGGCTCGATCCCAGGACCCCAGGATCATGACCTGAGCCGAAGGCAGACGCTTAACTGCCTGAGCCACCCAGGCACCCCTCACCCTGACTTCTTGAAGAAATACCCTCTTCACAGCCAAGCACCACTCCCCTTCCCAAAAGCAGGGGTCCAGAATAGAAGTTCTTTTCACTGGAAAGAAAAGTGTGTTAGCAATGCAGCTGCTGGGAAGATAAAAAGTTCCAAACCATCCCCAGGCAAGGACTTGAGAATTTTCCTAAAAGGGAGGACCGTGAGGTACAGGAATATATAACTAGGGAAACTGTGGGATTTTGTTCATGGGGCTTTCAAAATGCAGACTGGATTGTGATTTTCCTGAACTATTTTGGGTCGGGGAGAGAGACTGAATAAACTGTCATTTCCTGCCTTATGAGGCTGTGAGTTTGTATTTCTGTTAGCCAGAGAAGGCAAGGAATTTTATTTTCCTATGGTTCCCACTTCTATCACTAACATTTAGTACAAATGGCAACCAAGAAGCAACAGAATATAAAACCACAGGGTCTTTCCTGACTCCAATAGCCTCAGAAGACAAGTCAAGGAAATTGCCTATAGGAAACAACAGTTGTCACAATATGTATTCTTGGCAGTAACAGGAGTATGCTGTCCCTCTCCAGACCCTAGGACATAAGGAGAGAGAGGGAGAGAGAGGGGAGAGGGAGAGAGCGGAGAGAGAAATAGTGAAGTTTAGAGAAACGGGGACATTAGGGCCATGAACATAGACTTTCACTACCTGCTAAGTTGCAGAGTCAAAAACAAAGGCGTGGCGTGGTAGGCTGAATCATGCACCTCTACCCCAGGACCTTCTCATCCTCATCTCTGGAATCTGTGGATACGTTACCTTATATGGCAAAAGGGACTTTGCTGATGTAGTTAAATTAAGAATCTCGAGATGGGGAGATTATCCAGGATAAACCAGTGGGCCTGATGTAATCACATGAGTCCTCATAAGAGGGAAGAAAGTCTGAAGTCAGAGAGAAGGTCATGTGACCATGGAAGCAGAGATTGGAGCAATACAGCCACCAGCCAAGGAGCCAAGGGATGCCGGTAGCTTCTAGACGCTGCATGAGGCAAAAATGGGTTTTCCCCTGGAGCTTCTAGGAGCAACCAGCCCTGCTGACATCTTGACTCTCAGCCAGTGAGATTGATTTTGGACTTCGGATCTCCAGAACCGTAAGATAATACGTTTTCGTTTTCTTAAGCCAGTAAGTCTGTGGTCTGGTCGTGCGTTACAGCCGCAACAGAAAACGAATACATATGGTTTCAACGTTGGGTATAGGAATTCAAACTGGCCACATCCACCAGCAAGCTACAACCAAATCCAGCCCACCATCTTTTCCCCTAGGGCCTGTGAGCCCAAAGTGATTTTCTGTATTTTTAAATGGTTGCAGAAATCAAAAGGAGACTATTTAATATTTCAGGACCCATGAGGATAATACAAAATTCGTATTTTCCACGCCCATAAATAAAGTTTCATTGGGACACAGCCATGCTATTTCTTTTTTTTTTTTTTTTTTTAAGATTTTGTTTATTTATTTGACAGAGACACAGCGAGAGAGGGAACTCAAGCAGGGGCAGAGGGAGAGCGAGAGAGAGAAGCAGGCTTCCCGGCGAACAGGGAGCCTGATGTGGGGCTCGATCCCGGGACCCTGAGGTCATGACCTGAGCCGAAGGCAGACGCTTAACCGACTGAGCCCCCCCAGGCGCCCCCAGCCATGCTATTTCAATCATGTATTGTCTGTGGCCATTTTTGTTGGTGGGTGTACCATACATCGCAGTGACGCGGTTATAACTCGACCGCATTTTGAATGCCACGTGTATCCCCAGATTATGGCATTTCATTTTTTTATTAGATGTGCATACCTATCATGTAAAAAAAAAAAAAAGAAAACGAAAGGGGTTTCGAATGTCATGCTTTT